ATATTTTCCACATTCTCAAAGTGAAGGAAGTCATTCAAAACATGACACAAACTTAAAAGGGAGTGACTGGAAGTTAATGAAATAAAGTATTTTTTTAAAATTTCAACATACAGTAAGCACTATAAATGGTCAAGTATTAAAAGGTCAGTGGTCAGAGGTCTGACTATTTCCTTACAAACTAACCTCTAGAAAAAGTGAACAAGAATGTTAGAAATGTTTTAATGGAAAAAAATGGCTAATATAATTCAGAAAATTCATTAGCCTCACTCAGCTGTTTACAATAACAATGAAAAATCAGCATGCATTTTTTTTTTTTGTCACTTATGGGGCTTGAACTCTAAGCTTGGGCACTGTCCCTCAGCTCTTCAGCTCAAGGCAAGCGTTTTACCACTTGAGCTACAGCACCACTTCTGGGGTTCTAGTGGTTTATTGGAGATAGGAGTCTCATGGTCTTTCCTACCCGGACTGGCTTTGAACCACGATCCTCAGATCTCAGCCTCCTGAGGAGCTAGGATTACAGGCATGAGCCACCGGTGCCTAGCCAGCATGTCTTTTAAACTCATTGCTCAGTCTAAACCAATGTGAATGATTTAGACAGCCCTTCTCACACATTGTTGTCTATATGTGAGAATTAAAAATTACTAAAATGTTCTCTACCTAAAAAACTTACACACAATCCTAGACAACTCAATAAATAGAGTTTATATGTATGAGAAAGTTTTGCATAGTTTTTGTAAGAAAAGTGAATTTGAAAAAAAATAATGATCTTCATAATAAATATGAGACTGGTAAGAAACAGTATCTCATTCATTATATAAGATTTTGACACAGGAACAAACTCTATTCATAATGGCTTGAAATACTTTCAAGCCATGTAATATGAAAAATTACAGAAATCATTGTTTGGATATATTTTATATCATATACATGCTTGCATTAAGTTACTGTGGTAGTTAACATTATCTAACTAGGTTACTGATTCTATTCCTTGGTTACTTCAAGGAACAGTTCTTGTTTACTTCAAGGAGTCAAAGCAGGACATGTTTCATTTTCCTGTAATTTTTCATCTTTCTTGATTTATTTTATACATTTTCTAAAATAAAATATTGCTTATTATATTAGTAATAACTAAGTTTTTTAATAAACAAAATCTATGCTTCGCCCAATGCCAAGCCCATGTTATCACTCTTATTTATCTTTACAGTGGCTTTGTGAAGAACGTGCCACTGTGGCTAAAACTATCATGTAGATGCCAAAGAGTCATACATTCAGGAAATAATGAATGCCTAATTCAGACTTGGGCCAATTCACAAACGTAGTGAAGAATTGTATACCCATGATATGAATAAGCAGCATAACAGCCTACTACTGGAGTTAATTCTCCTTTTAAAATATTATTATTATTATTATTATTATTAATTATTATTATAGTTACTGAGAGTGTTCATTCAGTCCTTTGATTAGCCAATAAGAGCCTGTTCTGTGCTGTGGAGTCTCTGAAGTGAGCTAAGCAGACATGTTCCCTGTTTCATGGACACACCATTCTAGTAGGTTCGGAGAAGGGACTAAAATCTCAATTGTTGAGTTTGGCAGCAGAAATAGGTGATCTGTTAGAAACAAAGTAGAAGGGAAAACAAGGGATGAGGTGTCCAGGAAAGGGGGTTGCGGGGGCAGAGAAGTACTGCTTAGGTGGCTAGCAGATAAGGCTCCTTTTGACTGTTGTAACTACTAGCCTTGTTTAGCCATTTTTCTAAATTAATTGCTTAGCTCTTTTATAAAATGTTTCTATATTGTAAGGATGCTGTACGGAGGGGTTACAGTTACATGAGCAAGGCAATGAGCACATTCATAGTTATCCCTTCCTTGGTTATTGCCCCACTATCCCTTCCCCCACCCCACCCCATCCCACCCCCACCCAAAGTTGTAAAGTTCGTTTCCAATATACTGTCCTGTGGGTATCATTGTTATTTTGTTTTGTATGTATTTTTTTTAAGAAAATAGGAGCAGGGGCTGGGAAGGTGGCTCAGTGTAGAGTGCTTGTCTTGCATGCCTGAGGCCCTGGGTTCGATTCCTCAGCACCACATAAGCAGAAAGTGGCACTGTGGCTCAAGTGGTAGAGCGCTAGCCTTAAGCTGAAGAGCTCAGGCCCCACAATTGAAAAAAAAAAAAAAGAGCAATGGCTATGTCAGTTTGATTGTGACAATCATTTCACAAGGTATTCATGGATCAAAACATTGCCTCAAAATTTTTACCCATTATACATGAGAACGAAGTAAAATGTGAGTAGTTACTTCACTTCAATAAAACTCAGCAACATCAGAGTTCAAACCAGGTCTCCGTGACTTGCCAAATGATATGTTGTCTCATCATTTAAAAAAGAGGTAAATTTATCCTAGATGTACACTAGTTATTAGGGAAACCATGGGACCTATGTTTCTTTGGGTCTGGCTTACTTCACTTAATATAATTTTTTCCATGTCTTTTCATTTCCTAACAAATAGGGTGGTGGCATTCTTTCTGATGGAGGCATAGAATTCCATTGCAAAAAAAAAAAAATATATATATATGTATATATATACCATATTTTTTCTAATTTGGGGAGGGGAAGGGAAATAACAAAATGCTGAAACAATGATACAGGTTGACCCATTGTAACAATGAGATGTACTGGACACTATGTTGAAAATGAACTTTACAACTTTGTGGGTAGGGAGGAGTTGTAGAGGTGGGGAGGGAAAGGATGGTAGGAGAAAAACAAAGGAAGGGGTAACAATGCTCAACAGGAAATGTACTCATTACCTTACTCATGTAACTGTAACCCCTCTGTAATATATATATATATATATATATATATATATATATATATATATATATAAAGAGCTATTCCAAAGAACTGTGGCCATGCTGATGTCGTTATATTGATATTTTAATTTTTTTCCATTTTAATAAGTATAACTAGTGCTGAGGTGGATTTACAAAATGCGAGGTGTACCTTCATATAAAACATATCCCTTAACAATACAGTAGGTATGAACTTTTGCAATGCAAACCCAATGTTATTTACTCTAGAGTGGCATAGCATTTTGCAGCCTTGTTTTGCAAGATATATACATTCATCAAGATCCATGGTTGTGTACACTTGATTGGTCTGTGCTTTCTGAGTCTTGCATGCTAAACTATTCAGGAGCCCTTTTCTATGGGGTTGAACAATTGACAGTTGCCTCTAGGGAAGTAAATTTGATTTTCTGGACTGTCCAAGAGAATGTGTGACATTTTCCTTTCTAAAGACAGTCAGAACAGTTGGATGGGTAAATAATGCTGAGTAAATAATGATCCATGTAAAGTCGGTGTCCATTTCAGAATCTATTTTACCTAAAATATATTTCTCTAATCATATTTATATTTTTTATCAGAATTTAAGTGTCACATCACTTGCTTAAAATATTCTCTTTAAAGTAGGTTTTATCTGCTTTTGTGCTGCTGACCTGTTTCTAAATTGTCTTTTTGGTGTGTGTGTTCATGGAAATTAATATTGCAAAGAAGATACCAAAAAAGACTTCAACACACAGGATATATCTACAAAAGAGATCTTCTTTGTTGTTGTTGGTGGTGTTGGTGGTGGTGGTGGTGGTGGTCATGGGGCTTGAACTCTGGGCCTGGTCACTGTCCCTCAGCTCTTCAGCTCAAGGTGAGCACTCTACCACTGGAGTCACAGCACCACTTCCGGTTTTCTAGTGGTTTATTGGAGAGAAGAGTCTCACAGACTTTCCTGACTGGGCTGGCTTTGAACCGTGATCCTCAGATCACAGCTTCCTGAGTAGCTAGGATTAAGAGATCTTCTTAAAATATATACTAAATTAATTATCTCCTTCTTTATATATACAGACAAAAATAAAAGAAAGGAGATTGCCCTGTTTCCTGAAATTTCTAATTCTTTTAAAGTATAAAGAACAGAACATATTGAGATGGTACTGATTGCTACCACTTTACCCTAAGTGGTCTAAAATTTTTAAACAAAACCCTAATATCTGAATATACCTAAAGTATTTTTATGATTTCCTTTTACTTTGTAAATAGATGTGTCATTAAAGTCATCCTAGAAAAGCAGCAGTGATTGAGGAGAAAAGATGTGCTTGTTTTTACCACGTACAAATGGGCCCAGAAGAGAGACAGCATAGCGATAAGAATTGTTTCAAAGATGATCTCATGAGAAAATATGTTTCTGCCACTGTTGCTTTATTTCAAGAATGACCTGGAGGCATTTCTCTAGTGAGAATATCACATATAAGCCCATATAGCCTTCTGATTCTGAGAATTTCTTTGTGAGATTAGAGTCCTGATATTAAGGGTATTGCTTACCCCCAAGTAAAAGCCCTTCTCTTTCAATTAGATATAAACATAATTACATTTTAGAAATGACTGATATATATGATTTTCACTACATATCCTCAGTCCTAACTCAATTTGGATGTTATTTCACAGTCAGAGTTTGACTGAATTTTAAGTGATTACATTTTATTTTTGTAGAATGATTTCTCTGTGATCATGAAACTTTTTTGTTAAAAACAAAGAGTAAATGAGAAATGGTTAAGAATTCTCATCTAGAACAATAGGCTATTTCCTTTGTACAAATCTGTCATCCTTGTTGACTGATAGAGTTTCCAATAGTTTACAAAAGTGTCATATTTTAGATGTATGCTGTGTAGTGTGTAGCACCCTTTAATACATTCTGAGATGACTTGTGCAATCTTATTCATGATAATGTATGGCTACGTTCCTCTGATTTAATCAGTCTGTGCCACTTTCGGTTCAACATCTGGAATGATTATTGTGTGCTAAAACAGCATATATTAGGGGTGGTCCAGTAATCAGTTGCTTTTGTTTCTCTGGCTTCTGACTTACTTGGATGGGTACAGAGCCAAAAGGAAAAAAAAAAAAAAAAGCACTGCTGAGTATCTCAGATAGAGGTAATGGGTTGTCAACAAAAATAGAACATTAGCCAGAAGTCAGATGTGTGTGGGTTACTTTTATTTCCTTTTTTTTTTAACTCCTCTGGCAGTAAACCATACTTTAGGATCTGACGTTGTAATTTTGTAAGTGTATTTAAGCTCTCACATACATGTGTAGTGAAGGGTTCAGGACAGGAATTTTCTGCAGAAAAACATTTGGTCCTGTTACGAATTGTGTGTTCAGAAACTTGGAGCATATAATTGAAAATTTCTTCTTAACCTTTTTCAAGGTAAGTCATATGATTCTCCTTTAAATTAAAAAATTATATATTTAGGAAATTTTCCATCTCTTAAATGATAGATGACTGTATCATAAATACTCTTAAGAAGATATATAAAAGGAAATAAAAAATAGTAGATACTTTTCTAAAACCTCTAGCTTTATTTTAAAATAGGTTGGTGGGGGTTTGTTCCAGTTTGCTATGTTTTGTATTTAAATGGTATAAAAACTGTATCAAATTATAAATAACATTTCACTTCTTGATACTTAATATCATGCTTATCTATAAATAAATATATTGGCTAAAATTGAAAATGATTTATAATCTAATTTGACCCATAGTAGAATTTCCCTTTTACACTACTCCAATAGGTTTATATTATGAGGAAAAGATTTGTAAAGGAAGATTAATCTAGTGAGATTACTTTTTATAAATGATTTATAATGCTTGTGTCAATATTCTATTCAGTACATATTTTTTGAATATTCATTAGTTCATAGAGTTATTAGCTACTTTAGTTTTTAATTGCACAATTTTTGGAAATCTCAATGTTGTCTCCATGGTTAGATGTATATTTTAGACACATGCTTACCTAAGTATGTTTCATTATTTATATATGTTGTTATATATAATTGAAATTGTTGAAGTATATGAAATATGATGTGATGATACTAAGAATGGTAAAAATGTAGGGATATAAAGCAATAATCTAAAATTTAATTAGTATAAAATTATGTAGAAAAATAAAAATGAGGCGAAATTAAAGTCCTTGGCAATTCAGGAAGCTTAATACATGTATTAGTGAATATTCTTTTGAAGTGGTAGCAGTTTTTCTCTCTGTTCATCCTGGAGAGACTAACTACAAGGCTCAATTAATTTTACAGAGTAACTATAAATAATATAAATGATATAAATATTCTACAGTAAATTTAAACCATTTCCAGAAGTTTCAAATATTGTCTTAAAATAAATATTAAAAGTTTTTGTATAGTTTTAGAACTTGTCAAGTTTTCTTTGATGGCTTTATATATGTGAAGTCTTTTGGAGTTAAAATGAAACATTGTTTAGTACCAGTTTGGATGGAAATCAAATGCAGTCTTCAATTTTTTTTCTTATATACAAAATCTAATGGCTCTTTGATGTTTATGGAAGGAAAAATGTAGATCTTTTCATCTATCAAAATTACTATTAAATCATAACAATAAATCAAAGATGAAACCATCAAATAATAGCTTAAATAGCCTGTGGGAAATAATCATGCTAAATAGGAGGAGTACACTTGTACAGAGCGTATTAAATTTTATTTTTTTCTCAGAACTCATGGTTGCTGCTCTTATTGTTGATGAAAATTTTAGCTATATTCACATACATTCATTTTTGTGTGTTGTTTTCTATTTCCAAATAAGTTAATTCTGTATATAGTTTCTGTTTTAATCTCAACCTTTTTTAGTTCACTGGGATAAAATGAGTCTAACCTTCCAAGTAGCGTTGTCCTAGGATAGTAGCTATTTTTACATTTGTGTGGTGTTTTATTGTTTTACAAATAGTCATTTCTATTTTTGTATAATAATACAAATTTGTTAGTTTTGTATATAATGCTTTACAGATCTGAGGATTGTGGTTCAAAGCCAACTCAGGCAAGAAAGTCCTTGAGACTCTTATCTCCAATTTACCACCAGAAAACCAGAAGTGACACTGTGGCTCAAGGTAGTAGAGCACTAGCCTTGGATGAAAAGGTTCAAGGACAGCACCCGGTTCCTGAGTTCAAGAACCTCTCCTCATAAAAAAAAAATAATAATATTTTACTCAGGCAACATGAAAACACAGCTTACTCTTATGTCATAGATATATTTATTTAGATTTATCGCCCAAATATTTTACATTGTAATATATGACAAAGTAAGACTTAGTGAAGTTACATTACAGATACCTGTACATTATCTACTTAATATTTTTACTTGACTATGTTTTGTTGAGATGCAAGTGTACATGTAAGTAAGTCAAAGGAAAGGAGTTGTGAAGGTTCTTCTAATTCATATAGACTTTTTAGCAGAGCCCTTGAGTTCTATTGGGAGACTCACAGCCCAAGAGAACTGTGACTGAAAGAGAGGTGAGCAGTTCTTGCATTGTTTTCTACCTTGCAGTTTTTCAGTGTATCTTCATCTACCAGAATTATGTGCAAAATTTAAACGGAAAGCAGAGTTCTATCTCTGAATAGCAATTTCTAGATTTATCTAAGATTTACCAAAGACCTCTCCTTGCATATGATTAAATGATTGGTTGGCACTCAGTTTTTACTGTTTTGGACCATCATACTCCTGTTTAGGGAACAGTGGTCTTGTGAATGTATAGTTATTGTATAAGGTAAAAGTAGCAAAATACCACATTCATATTCAATTCAATGAATTATTCCCCAATAGTTCCAAAACTTGGGGTGAATGGACCTATGCTGTATCTTTCATGAGAGGGAGATTTTAAATAGCAGAAACAGGTGTATAATTTAAATAAATACCTCATAAAGGTAAACCTTTTATCACATGTCATTGTTCACATTCCAGCAAATGTCGCCTCTGTGCCATACATTTTCTGGGTGGAGTTTCCTAAGGAACACATTAACCACACATGGGATAATGAGATTCTCTGGTGATTTGTCCTCATGGCTATAGCTAGAGAGGCTTCCTACAGCTCAGCTACCACAGGCTTGGTTTAATGCCTCAGTATCTACTAGTTTCCCAGGACAGTTAGCGAGGAAATTTTGCTGAAAAGTTCATTATAGAAATATTCTGCCAATGTGACAATTTGAGAAAGAAAAGTATTTTTCCTTCTTTTAAAAAAAGATAGTCAAGAGCTGAGAAGATGGCTCAGAGGTAGAGTGCTTGGTTGCCTTGCATGCATGAAGCCTTGGGTTCAATTCCTCAGCACCACATAAACAGAACAAGCAAGAAGTGGCACTGTGGCTCCAGTAGTAGAGCATTAGCCTTGAGCTGAACAGCTCAGGGACAGTGCCCATACCCAAAGTTCAGGCCCCACAACTGACAAAAAAAAAAAAAAACATAGTCAAAAAGGGATAGACTCTTTTCATGACTTCCACAAAGGATTCTATTTGTAATGTATTAAATTGGATAGGAAACAGCAGACTTACACACAGAATGAAGACAGATATGTGACCTCTTTGAAAAGTCCTCTTCTTTTCCTTTCCTTTATTTTACATAAGTCTAAATTGTTTTCTTCATCTGATTGTTGTTTGTGTTCTAATTTCCATACTTAAAACAGGAACTAAATTATTAAAGATATAAATATCTCCTATGCAGAGCAAGTAATTGATACAAAGTAAAGAAAACTTGCCAGGTGCCAGTGGCACATGCCTGTAATCCTAGCTACTCAGGAGGCTAGATCTGAGGATTGCGGTTCAAAGCCAGCCCAGATAGGAAAGTCCATGAAACTCATATCCAATAAGCCACTAGAAAACTGGAAGTGGAGCTGTGGCTCAAGCGGTAGAGCACTCACCTTGAGCTGAAGAGCGCAGGGACACGCCCAGAGTCCAAGCCCCACCACCCACCAAAAAAAAAAAAAAAGTAAATAAAACAATCTAAAATTAGCCAATGGAAACATTATTTTAATATATAAAAAGTTGTTTTAAGAAAAATGCTGTTGCCAGACCCAAATTCAGAATGCTTGCCTAGCTAAAAGTGATGGAAAAATTTCCTGATATTAAATATGGGCAGAAAAGCCATTGAATAAAATGTGTTATGTGATCTGAACATCTGAACTTGTGTGTACTCAGTGAGTGTCTCAAATAATATATGTGGGCCTACTCTGCCTCATGTGAACAAAACCAATTTTATTTTTTATTATTTAGCATAAGGATAAATTATGATTATAGTAGCAACTTTTTTCCAGCATGCTGTACAGGCACTAGAGGATAATAAATAAACCCATGTAATGTCAAGTCTTCTTCCTTTTTCTTGTGGATGAGGCAGAGGCAGCAGAAACATACCAATAGTAATCACTGAATCAGCTGAAACTTTGCACTAGTAGACAAGCTATACTTCCTTTTCACACAAATTACATGGTTGAAGTAATGTTAAATCAATATGTGTGTCTTTGCTTGTACATTAATACAGACCAATAGTAAACTTTTTTTTTTGATTGATCATAGTGCTTTCACTCAGGGCCTAGGTCCTATCTCTGAGCTCTTTTATCTCAAGGCTAGCACTCTACCACTTTGAGCCAATGGGCCATTTTCAGTTTTCTGGTGGTTAATTGGAGATAAGAGGCTTCAGGGACTTTCCTGCCTGGGCACGATTTGAACCAAGATTTTCAGATCTCAGCCTCCTGATTAGCTAGAAATAAATGTGGCAGCCACTAGCACTAGGCTAATATTAAACATTTTAAATCGCATGCTTCAACAGCATATATTATTTTATACTACTGTTTTCTAAAGAACTTGACTAAATAGCAGTGGGATTGCGTGTACTTCAGGGTGGGTTTTTTTTTTTGGGGGGGGGCACTTTAATTCTGGGCCTGAGTGCTGTCCCTTAGCTTCTTTTCCTCAAGGCTTAGAGCTCTACCTCTAGAGCCAAAGCTCCACTTCTGTTTTTTTTTCTGTGATTAATTGGAGATAAGTGTCTCACCCAGACTTTCCTGCCCAAGATGGCTTTAAACAGTAATCCTCAGATTTATGCCTTCTGAGTAGCTATAATTATATGCCTGAGCCACCATCATCCAGCTCACTTCAGTTTTAAAATAAAAGCAAACAAAAACCCAGAAAGTATCCAGTCTCATCTTTGCTCAAATATATCTGGTCTCAGAGTCCACAGAAATCCTAAGGGAAAGCAGATGCTGCTCATTGGATCTTCCCGAGGATAGTCTGGGAATTTACTTCTTGCAAATACTCTTAGAACTTTTTATCTCTTGAACTTATCCAGATTTAGTACATGGGGATAGGAACTTGCCCAAGATAAGGATTCTAATGTTTTGTTTTTTTTTTTTCTTGCGATTGTTTCTAACATATTTATAAGATAATTTCTTTGTTGCTTTGTATGTCCCTCCCCCACAGTATAACCCCTGTTTTCACTGTATTTGATGCTGGTATAATTTGTGGAGGGGAAGGGAAAAAATAAATTGTTTAAGTAGGGATACAGGTGGACCCATTGCAACAATAAGATGTACAAGACGTTACGTCAAAAAACAAACTTTACAACTTTGGCGGGGAGGGGGGAGGGGAGAAGAGGGAGGGGGAGAGGAAGGGAAGGAATGGGAAGGGGAGGCAACAATGCTTGTTAAGAAATGTACTCTTTATCTTGCCCATGTAATTGTAACCCCTCTGTGTGGTATTTTCACAATTAAAAAAAAATGATAGTCACATAGAATCTTGAAAAGGACAAATATGTCTTGCAGCAATAGGACTGAAATTTTTGTATAATTTTATTTTCTACCAGAGTTAGAAATTATCGTGAAATGAAGAATCTTTTATTCAATTTATGTGGCACATAAAATGACTTTCCAAAAGAAATGACTCCATTTTGGAGCTTTCTGTATGGACATAAAATGTTCTGGCCTGTATATCTTTGCTTTCTTTTTCTTTTTCTTTTTCTTTTTTTGTGGGATCCCAAAGCCATGGAGCCTACAAAATTCTTCTAAAGCTCCCTAAAGTGAGAGAAGAGTGTCAGTTATGAGTGCAGGCCAAGTAATAAGTGCGGGTTTCTAGACTGTCATCACTGCCATGCAGTCCATTATTGTGCTTGTTGCTCGTCTTCCATATGAAAACTTAATGAAAATCTGCCATAGGTACTTAGACTCAAAGCTGCCTACAGCACCTTAGATCTCATTTTACACAGAAATAAATTGGAGTACACAGAATCATAAAGTGGTTTAACCATTATTGCTTGGCAATCGAGTGATAGTTGAACTCTGGTTCAGTCCCTAATCTCCTAATCTCAATTATGCCAGACTGGATCACTAAAATAGCTTGCAGATATGATTATTGTTTCATAAGTAACACCACAGTGTTATAGTCTATTTAGTAATTACTGTGGTTGTTTAAAAGACTGTGTTTTAAGACAAGTCCAAGATGCTTTATAAAGGAAATGCATTTGACAGCATTCAGTCTTTATCCATACTAAATAACTGGCTCTTCTCCATTATGACACTGTTGGTTAAAGGCACTCAAGGTAGTATAAGACATGGATTCAAAGGGCAAGAAATGCTGTTCTTCACACTTCATCCCCAAAGTAAAAATTTAGCCCACTTGCTCAGTAATAAATATAATTCCTATATAAATATAAATCAATTGCTTTGGTTTGTGGGATTTTCTTTGATTTTGTGGAGAAAACAAACTTCAGTTGCCAGGGACCTAATCAGGATGCCACTGTGAAGGAATAGAAGGAGTATCTTTATTCATATAATGAATGGAGGTTGGGGGTTACCCTAGGTAGCAGGATCTAGTAGGTAAAAGAAATCACAAGAAGTAGGAATGATCAAATAATGGTTTCCAAAAAAAGAAGTTCCATTTATATTCCTCCATTTGGGGGGGGGGGTATTTTTTAATCTTCTCACAGTTCTTTTCTTACCTAGACAGCAATATTTTTAAGAAAATTAAATGGTTCTATATTTTTATGTAGAGTATAGAAACAAATTTTCTCTGTGTGCCACAGTCCCTGTTGGTATCTATGGTTTACTTGGCCAGTCTCTGTTGGCATCTATGGTTTACTTGGCCATGTGCATTGGGAAGAAGAGAGTATATGTTTGTAAGTACAATGCTTGTTCTTAAGTGTCTCCCACTTACAGATCAACCTCACCCCAAAATGAATGTCATTATAATCAAAATACTGAAAACTTGTTTTCAAATTTTGCTCAGTAATGATATATTTTATTGACTTTATTTCAATAAGATCCAATATTCCAATAAATTCCAATTCTTATGTAATTGCTATATAGCATATCATGATGCCACAAATAATAAAATCTAAGTGTAATACAGAACAGAATTATTAATTTTTAATCAGTACATAGAGCAATAAAGAATTTTGTAGGTAGATCCATAAAAAATTCTTTAAGAACAGTAAAAAGGCAATGCCTATTATTAAAATATCTTCCACATTATATATTTTCTCCAAATGCTTACATCTAAAGTCATTATTAGCAAGAAAGTTAACAAGAATGTTTTAAAAGATGTTCTTCTTTAAATATTTACAACATGAACTCAATACACAAAAGCAGGATTTTAAGAGTTATTACAATTATGATGATGTTAATGTGTATCCTAGGATTTATTTGGGGGATTATTATTATTATATTTATGTAGTTATATGTAGAATTTTCAATTTGATAACTAGGTTATGAGTATAATTCATCTTGATCAGTGTAAACCCTTCCACTATTCTCCCTCATTTCCCCTTCTCATCCCTAACCTCAAGTTACATAGTTTAAATTTTACATAATGTAGGTTAAAAATAACCACTGATTTTCCTTACCCTTCCTCCTTCTATTCATATTTTCAATAATATACTTACTTTGTTTTGTTTTATCTCAACAGATAGCTGAAAAATGATTGGAAGAATTGATTCTCTCTGAGACTCATCAGACTATTTCCTTAAAAAAACCTTTATCTTGCTGTGTGTTTGTGAATAAGGTACAGTGAGAACAGCATCTGTTGCCATAATCCCTTAGCATTTAGAGACAATATCAAAACCCCCATTTAGAAATCCTGTCCTAATAAATATAAATATGAATATGTGATTGGGTAGAGAAGGTAGATAGGAGGTGAGAATACAGCAAAGCATCCCAAGCTAAGGAAAAGAGGAGGGGATAAGTATGTAAACGTAGTTTTCCGTAGATAAGATTTCAGTATGTTATTCATCCACAGGAAGAAAATTACAAACAAAAATTTGAACCAACAATCTCTGACATTATTTCTGCTTCTGTGAGATACTTAGGACCAACAGAAGAAGAAGAATCTAGAAAGTCAGTTTGGTACAACAAACAACAACAACAAACAAGGAAAATATCTGCTAATTTATAACTGTCATAATGATAACTGTCTTAGTGGTGTGTTTTCTTTGTACTTTGATCTGTTTGTACTGATATTTAAGCTCCAGTTTTGCTATCTCTTTCTAATAGTAGAACCAGAGCACGCAGAAAACACCTTCACCATCTCTGGAAGTTTGAAGAAAGCAAGTGATTACTTTTGATTTTTCTCCTGTACACATAAAATGGGCTGTGATAGGAACTGTGGCCTCATCGCTGGGGCTGTCATTGGCGCAGTCCTGGCTGTGTTTGGAGGTATTCTAATGCCAGTCGGAGATATGCTTATTGAGAAGACAATTAAAAAGGTACCAGTACTCAAAAAGAATCTTACCACTCTGATTTATTTTATCTTCTCTCTTTTCTTCCTTTAAAATATCTTGCCACTCTGATTTATTTTATCTTCTCTTTTTTTCCTTTGAATAACTGTTTTAGATAGATAGAGAGATGATAGACCTCATAGTAACTGGTAATATTGTCTTCAACACAAAGTTGATTATGAATCACTAAAGTCAACATGATAAAATGACCATGCATGAAATGCTGCAATTATTACATATATTTAACATGAATCATTATTCCTTAAAAGTAAATATCAAATTCTGATAAAAGTAGGTATGTACATTTGTATAAATATTGACCTGATTTTGAATGAGAAATACAAGATTTTTCGAGAATATATGGAAAAAAGTTATTGTATTTTGATTAACGCAGAGAGAAATAGAATATATACACATATATGTATATATTCATTGTATATGTACATATATATTGTAGTAGAATATATACTCTTCATATATGCATACATATAGTCTAGTAGAATACATGCATATATGCATATATAGAATATATACAACATATACAATACATACAATATTTATATAATATTTAATATACAATGATATATATGCATATATTTTACTAGAATATATAAGCATATATGCATATTCATTGTGTAAACTTTTGAAAGAACTTTTTCTAATACGTGTATTAGAAAAAATCTGATTATCTCATAAGTATTTCCTAATTACATGTTTCCTTAAAATTCCTCAGCGAAAGATTCCAGGAATATGTTATGTAGGATATATGTATATATAAATATATATATATATATACATATATATATCAGTATATGTCAATAAATGAACAGTAATTTAATTTAAATTAGAGTAATCTGATCAACAAGATTTACACAAAAATTATCTCTCAACCTATTTCATTCTAATTAGCTTCACACTCACCAGAAGTGTTACCAGCTAAAAGATAGGGTGAGGAGAAGAAAAATACTGATATTCTAAATTAATGAAATGGGAAAACTCAAATGGCTTCAGGAGTTTGGAAATTTGGCTTGAAAAAGGAATTATGCTGCCAAGGACAAGGTGAAATGAGGAATAAGGCCCATTGTGAAATCAGGGCCTAGCCCTAGCCAAAGGAATGTTTGCCAATTGTTTGTCATTTTAAAATTTTAATTTTATGGCAAAGGTATTATACAAAGGGGTTACAGTTACATAAGTTAGTCAACAAGTACATTTCTTGCCCAACATTGTTACCCCCTCTCACATTTTTCTCCCACTTTCCACCCTCCCGCCAAGTTGTAGAGGTCATTTCCAACATAGGATCTTGTGAATATTGCTGTTGCATCGGTTCAGCCTTTGTCCTTTTTGTTGTTGTTGTTGTTTTTAGTAAGAAAATAATCACTGGCTAAATAAAATACATTTGAGCACGTGTTTCAGGGTTAGAATAGTGCATTATGGTAAAGAACAAGAGAATTGAGTTAGAAGTGTCAATTCATTCTGGTATTTCCAGGATTTCCAAGGCCTTTATCTTCTATGTATTCATTTATGGTTGCCATCCTAGTCTTCCAAGATATAAAAGAAAATCCCATTTTATGTCACTGAAAGCATTGACATAATTGAGTAATCAATAGGAAGAATTGATTTGAAAACTTGTCATTCATAACAAGGTATTCCTACTTTCTGCTTTTCCTTCCTGAGCTCAAAATGGTAAATGTTTTAAAGTTTAAAACTATTTGTACAGAATTACTATACCATTGTTTTACTATAAATTAAAACCTTTAAAGGTAATAATTCTTATACTTACATATAGTAAGTTACTGGTAACTATAAGAGTTTCATCCTCATATTTTCCTTAGGAGAAAATATACATATTAAATATCATCCTGGTGCTGGTGACTCACATCTGTAATCCTAGGTACTCAGAAGACTGATATCTGAGGGTCAAAATTGAAAGCCAAACCAGGCAGGAAAGCCTGAAACTCTTATCTTTACTAATCACAACAAAAGCCAGAAGTGGCACTGTGGTTCAAGTGGTAGAGCAGAGCCTTGAACAATAAGCTCAGGGACAGTGCCTAGGCCCAGAGTTCAAGCCTCAAGACTGGACAAAATAAATAAATAAATTGATATTGAATACTATATACATATATAGTATTTTAAGGTTAGTTTTATTCTTTGCTCTGGGATTCCCAGTTTTCTTGGTTGCACTTCTGCTGTAAGCCAATAAAAATAGTGAGTGATGATATAAGGTTTGTCAAACAGTATAAGATGAATCTTCTATCACTCATCCACAATCCCAACTCTATTATCTGTGGTCCCGCCCTGGATATTCTGCAGAGAGAAGAAAACATTAATGTCATTTGTAGCACTGAAATTATAAGTTGTCATTTCAAAAACTCTCAGTTAATCAGAAAAAAAGTCAAAATTTCTCTGGGCACAATGTTATATATGAGGTTTCTGTACATTATCAGTGATCAATAAACGAGTATTGGTCCTCTACTTTTCCTCTTTATGTAACAAAATTAATGCTTATAAAATATCTTGGGTGGCATATGACTACCAATAACTATTTAAATTAATTTTAATATGTATCTCTAAGCACATAATGGTCAATTGTAAGAAGGTAGATTTAGTTAACAAAATGTGATTTTGTGTAATGATTAAGACAGAGTAAAATGAATTTCTTAGCAACTGAAAGACATAATTTGGGAAATGTATGCTTAGAATAAAACTATTCAAAATTATATATTACTCTAAGACTTCTATAACTGAAATATGTATCATATGGGAAAATGTATTCAGAAAGAGAAATACTTAGAATATGTATGAAACTTAACAAGAAAGAGATTTAGAGTTAGAATTTTGAAAACTCTAAAAATAATGGCATAAAGGTTCAAAGGACTAATTTACAATATGGGAACTGAAAACAGGGAAAGAAAAAAAGAAGTAAAGAATATGAGAAAAAATACTGGCTTAACAAGAGAGATGACCATTGTGTATTAAGTGATGGTCTAATGTAGAATCAGAGTTGGTTTATGCCTTTCAGTAAGATTAGAGAAGACCTGAGATTAGTATTCTTAAATAGCTAGTATACTTAATTACTGTATACTAAGTTTCCTATATGAAAATCTGTTAAATCTTCCCAAATTAGGAGAAGGTAAGATTTTTTTACTTAATTTTTAATTATGAAGGCTCATACCAACTTACTACTTCAAAGATTCACTAGAGAATGAATCGGGCCATGATGGTAGACAACAAATATCACATACTCTTATGCTGTATCCTACAATAAAAAGGATTGGAAAAATGAGAATAAACCACTTTCTGGGAGAATTTAAAATTCTCATTCAGAAAGATTTTTATATGTTTGAACAATACAACAGGAGGCACTGTGGCCGGAATGTGTTGAGATAGCTGAGAGAGAGAGAAAAAAAGAAAGATAGATAATGAGATGCAATGTAATTTTGGATACAGAGAATAAATGAAGCAACAGTAAAGTAAGTAAATAGCCAGGATGTCCAGCTGACTTGCTGATAGAAATACATGTCTGAGAAAATGAAAGAAGGATTTCATAAGTAGCTTGATAGGAACTTTAGGCTTTATGTCAAAATTCGAAGTACAGACAGATTTGAACGTTGTGAGAGATTACAATGAATTTGTTTCTGTAGCGCTTAAACATTCAGAGAACTCGATAGAAAGATTATTATAGGGATTTGGATATGATCAGAGACAGGAAGACAAAGGCAGAAAAGGAAATGATTGTATGTGGAAATATTTTATGTGAAGAAAGAGACAAGTATAATTTCTGCAGGTTAGTAGAAAAGAAGAATAAGATATTTCCTGGATGATAAAAATTAAGGATATAATGGCTAGAATATTACCACTAGTGAGTTGAAAATAACAAGAGAATAAAAAATAGATTATTTCCTTCATGTTGTTGACACATGTAATGGATATAATCTTTTACAAATCAAAGGGCAAAGTATGGACCCTGACTCACAAAAGAGGAGGTACCAAGCTGATATCTGAGTTCAAAAGAACTGCTTGTTAATGGCTTATGTTGTTGGCCCACTACATAGACAGAACCAGAGCTATCATCAAAAACGCAAAGAACTAATGGTCTGTGGTATATCCAAGGCTAAGCTTGATTTGACTCCCAGGTTTCTATATTATCACATTGCCCATTTCAATTTTAGTCATATGAATAACTTAGGAGTCTTAGGGTACAGCTTGGGTTGCTGGGCATATGCTTGGCATGCATGAGGCTCTAAGTTCTACCCAAAGTTACCCTCTTTCAAAATAAAGCCTTTTTCTTCGTGTTTGTATAAAGCACTGAAGATCAATAGCATAAGCTCTCTTACATGTACAACTAAAGCGCTTCACAAAGTCAAAATTCTGATGCCTCTTGCAAAAGATTATTTAAACCTTGATATTAATATCACTTGACAAAAGCTTAATGGAAGTTTTATGACATATGTTACTTTAAATTGAATTGAATTGAATTGAAATTCCCTATAATATGTACTATAGAAACAAAAATAGAATTTAAGGTTTCTTTTTGCCTCTAAAAAGATTAATGTTCAAATTCCCACTATATTAATCATTAAATGCTACTATTATTACTATCTTCAGACTTTTTTGTTGTTGGTGGTGGTGGTCGTTGTGGGCCCTGAACTCTGAGCCTGGGCGCTGTCCCTCAGCTCTTCAGCTCAAGGCTAGCGCTCTACCACTTGAGCCACAGCGCCACTTCCAGCTTTTTCTGCTTATGTGGTACTGAGGAACTGAACCCAGGGCCGCATGCATGCAAGACAAGTACTCTACCACTGAGCCACCTTCCCAGCCCCTATCCTCAGACTTTAAAAGAAGTGATCCTTTAGTAATTTGCTAAAAGTATCTTCAGATAAAACAAATTGAAACAATCATTATTTAAAATGACCAGATTTTGAATCAATATTTATTTTAAAACACATGATTCTAGCATTTCTAAACTTGTTTTAAAAATTGGTACTTTTTGCATAATAGCTACAGAATGTTTGCAAAGAAATGTCTGAAGTATCATTTGTTAAACATAGTAACAATTTTATAATGTCATCAGATGAGAATACGAAAAATAATTATTTTTAAATTTAAATATCAATAGAACTATGGTTGCCCTTGGAATTCCAACACTGGGGGGGCTGAGGCTTGAGGAACTCTAGTTCAAGACCAACCTGAGCTATATAGTGAGATGATGACTCAAAACAAAACAGAACAATTACCTTAATACAAAAATGGGTTAAAAATTACACATAGGCTAGAGTTCACAGTTTAAGTTCAGCCTGGGCATAAAAGTACATGAAATGACATTCCAATCAGACCCTGCTATAAATAAAGCCCGGGGCCATTTGGCTGCCTTCCCCACTGACATATGGTAAGGGAAGTGGAAGTGCTGCAGCTAAGACCAGCCAGGGAGACCCTACTTGAAAATAGCACAGGCAAAACGGACCTAGAGCATAACTCAAAGCCAAGAGTACCTGCTTTGCAAATGCCAAGCCCTGAGTTCGAACTACAGTATCACCAACAAAGGACAAAATCAAACAAAGAAACAGCACTACATATATTGTCAACTTCCATACAATGACAAAAAAGTTACTTGAAAACAGTGTTTGGAGAAATAGCATAAAGCACATGTAATTTTCTTCCTCCAGCTCAATTTGTTGTCACCATAGTTTGACTTTCATGCCATATCCCAAATCTCCCATTTCAGGTTTCTACAGAAATTCTGGACATCTGGACAATTCTGGACATTTCTGGACATCTGAAGTATATTAGATCTTGTTAAAAATCTATATTAAATCTTACTCCATTATATTTCACCAAAGCTGTTTGGTGGATTAACTGATAACCTGTAACATTTTCAATTCTCAGCATAACTGTCAGCAAAGTTCAAATCTACTTTCTTTCAGTGCACAAACATAATATTTTTAAACATGGAAATATTGTTCAGTTTAGGATCCATTATGAGTAAATTACAATAGCAGATGAGAAAGACAGAGGGTATCGTCCATAGCCATCTGCTTTTGAAGGAAGTGCTTATTTGAATGGTGATGAAACAAATTATAAAAATAACTAAGTAGCAGAAAGCAGTGTCATGGGACATTGCACAAATTATTGGCACATAACTGAGTTAGATGGCAAATTCAATGAAGCACACAGTGAATCAATGTGGGAAGTAAATGTAACAGTTCACACTCTCAACAATGGGACTTCCTTGAATATTTGCTATGGGCTAATGTTATTCTAAGTAGCCACACTTACCAGTTTTCCTGATTGTTTTCACATATTTAAACCATATGCCAATGTAATCAACTTGTTTTTACTCATAAAAATACAAAGTTCTGGGGCTGGGAAAGTGGCTCAGTGGTAGAGTAGCTTGCCTTGCATTCATGAGGTCCTGAGTTCAATTCCTCAGCACCACATAAGCAGAAAAAGCCAGAAGTGGAGCTGTGGCTCAAGTGGTAGAGCTGAAGAGCTGAGGCCCAGGCCCAGAGTTCAGGCCCCATGACCACCCCCAACAACAAGCAAAAGTTCTTATGCTTTGAATTATTATTATTATTATTATTATTATTTTGTAGATAGGGAAAGTGAGGTCTCAGGAGATTAAAAACTGTCCCAAATTTAAATGCTTATTACTCAATCAAAACCCTTTGAAGATAGTTTCAGTGTTGAACGTTTCACTCACTCTGTGCCTTCACTCTGTTTCAAAGATACAAACTAGTCCACCACTTTCTTAGGCTAAAGAGCAAAATAACCTAACTGATTCATTTCAGTCTGCTGTGCATGACTGTGTTCTTACGATTTTATAACATCCTTGAGAAATGAGATAAGATGTTTTCTACATTTGCAATATATCTACTACACACGGGAAGGGTATTTTGATAGTCACATTAAATATTTCAGGTGCATACATACCCGTTTCATAGTAACAGCAACAGGCTAGTATGTAACTAAATGGAAAGTATAACTGCACCCAGCATCTGTTTTCAATCAAAGGCACATAGAAGGGTAGAACTTTCAAGGTCACTTCCATCCTAACTGGAAGATATGCTGAACAATTTGAGATTCACCAGGAGGAATCCAATCATTCCTGGGGCTAGACAGTCTGCCTACTTTATGTCTTGATTGAATCCTGACTTACACATTAGCAAGGTGACAGGATCTTAAATTATATTTGTTTTTTTCTGTGTACATAATTATCAAATTTAGTTCAAATTTAATGGAAGAATTGCATTATTATGCTAAATGGTACAACTAATTTAATTTAAATTGCAGGTTTTTAAATTCCAAAAAGACATAGAATTTTAAATTCTTAAATTTAAAATCTTAAAATCTTTAAATTTTAAAATCCTAAATTCAAGAAGCAATTCTCTAATGTGAAAGTACTGGCATGAGAGAAACTACATTTGTATTCAACAGTTTTGTATTTTAAAATTATTTATTTATTTTGTTATCTTTATGTAGTTCTGCAAAGAGGTTGCAATTTAACAAAGCAGTTTATGCATACAGTACATCTTGATCAATGTCAGCATCCTCATACATTCCTTCCCTGCCCACTCTTCCCTCACTCCTCTTCATATAAAGACAATGTGTGCCGTTATATCAGACACCTAAGGCTATAGAGTGAAAAATTCGACACCTTTATTATGTATTACAAATTGTCACAGGACATTGAACAGCTGCTGGTAACTCTAGCCCTCATTTCACTTTCTCCATTCAAAAGAGGTAAATGTGACAACAAATAAGGCAAAATTATTTCTAGTCTTTAAAAAAAAAGAAGAATTTCACAATGTCCTTTGGGACTTTGGTGTATATACATTAGACTTAAAGAGTCATTTTGTCCCCTCGGGCACCTTCTATTACAACACCTTTTCAATTCTTTAAGAATTTAATGAGTCTTTTCATTAAAGACTTAAACAAAAATATGTTCCTTGAGACACAAAATAAATAGTAGATATTTCATCAGATAGACTTTAAGATTCTTTCAGTGTGTGCAAACTGGGTGGGTCCCCGAATTTGGATAGTATGTAGAAACTGGATAGTCACTTAAAGTAGGGTAGACTCGTACAAGCTCCAGTTTCATAAACACATCTGCCTTTAGAACAACCATAATTGGCACAATTTTGTTTTAATATTGGTCTTTTTGCTTTAGACAACAGCCTTTTGGAGAGCAAATTAGAGAGCTTTCAAAGACAATTTCATAAAATGTCACTTTATCAGCTCTTGTTCCCATTTTAAGTGGATTACAACAGCTCAGAGTTTTGTAATTGCATTTTCACCAAATGCCCAGTTCTTCTCTGAGGAATTCCTTTTTAACTGCATTAAGCAATAACATATCCTGAAGACATGAAACGTAATTTGACATCTGCCAACTAAGTGCAGAGGGTGACATTAAGAAAATAATTTTTAGTGGCATGATGTAAAAGAGGACTAGAATCAGGGTCAGAGAAGAATATTGTCTTTGTGAGTATATTATTTGCCTAAGTGACCATTGTGTAGGCCAGTGATCTGGCTTCTTAGAGCCTCAGTGCGCTCTACTGGAAATGTGATGATAGGGGTAATTGTCCCTTCTTGAACCATTATGAACTGGTGCTTCTTGGTAAAGCATGTAGAAATAAGTCAAATTGTTCTTCTATTCATGGGTCTCGTTAGGTTCATTTTCTTTGAAATTGTTTTCTTCCCCTTCCTCTTACTTATGAGGGTAGGAGCTATTGAACCTGGCCCTTCCATCCAAAGTATTACTTAATTATACTACAGCCTCTAAAATCTTCTTCATATGATCTGCTTAGTACAGCTTCATAAAGTTCCTCCCTTCATAGACTTCCTGTTCAGAGGAAGGAAAATGAGAGGACATCAATGGCCACTCCTGAATCTTGTAGATCACACATGAACCTTAGGGGTTTAAGGTTTAATGATTTTCCACTTGGTCCTTAAGCTCCTTGATGAGGAACTAGTTTTCTAACATAGGATGATTAAATTCCAACATTGGTTTTCTGTATGAAAAATTTTAGTATACAGAGCATCTGTGATTTGGTAATGGATAATACAAACATACACACATATAATATCTTGTCCTTTTTTATAAAATCATGTAGGGACCCAATATAGACAAGTCATAATTTTTGGAGATATGGATATTTCCATAAATATATTAAGAATTAGGAAGACCATTATAGTGAGAGAGATTCGAAAGGAGATAGACATATTTGTGTTTTTTATCCACAATCATTTGCTTTCTTCTTGTAATAAGTGTTAAGTCATCTCCTTGTAGATTGCCCAATTTCAAAGAAAAGGAGAGAGCTTCTAATAGTATTTAATTTTTCTCTTAGTTCTTCTCCTTTGCCTCATCATCACTACTCCTTAGGGGCAGGAAGTCGACCTGGTAAGGAATGTTAGGAATAGTTTCAATAAAACTTTCTTCATAAATTACCTTACTGGTTGTTGTAATAAAGCCAGAGAGTCACCCTATGGCTTCCGTTATAGTCAGCAGTCATGGCTTCTCCGTTATACACCAATTCTCTCAGGGAAACATTAATTAAAGAGGTTGCTGGACTGTGTGGAATCTTCCTCGCTCCAAGTGTCTGACAAAGATGCCAAGGCTGTCATGAGCAAGATACATTGGCATGGTCCTTTAACTCTGGCTTACTAAATGCTGTAAGCTCTTTGAAGTGCCTGCATTAACTACAAAGAGATCACCCACATTCATGTTCTTTTTCACAGGAAGTCGTCCTTGAAGAGGGTACAATTGCTTTTAAAAACTGGGTTAAAACGGGCACAGAAGTCTACAGACAGTTTTGGATTTTTGATGTGCAAAATCCCCAAGAAGTGGTAGTAAACAGCAGCAACATTAAAGTTAAACAAAGAGGTCCTTATACATACAGGTGAGTGTGTGTCCACAGAGGAGGGGCATTCTTCCCCTGGGCATGGATATTTGTCAGAAAGCTTCCGCCTGACAAATTCCATTGTATTGGTGTCTATTTATTTTCTTGCCAATGATATAACATGAGATAATTTTTTCCTATTTGTATGGAATCTAGAATCTCTTTAAGATGTGATATACATATATATCTTTCTCTCTCTTTCTATCTATCTATCTATCTATCTATATATAGCCATGTTAATAGCTATTTTATAGAAAAAATACAGAGGCTATTATTAATTTATCATCATCTAATAACTGCCTGGGTTTGGTATATGTGGCATATAATGTCGACATTTCTGAAATATACATATTAATCAGGGAAACCATATATGTGTGTGTATATGTGTGCATTATTTATTTATTTATTTAACAACATCATTATAAATGTTGACTTACATCAGTACTTATCAAAGCCTGGCTACTGGACCAGCATATGGGCATCACCAGGAGATTTGGTAGATCTGTCAATTCTGATACAATATCATACCAAATAGATCAGAAAATTTGTCATTGGAAACCAGTGATCAGTTCTGAAATCATTGATGCCATTCATATCCACACTAAGTTTGGGGAACCAAAGTTCTAATGTGATTATGTAACTATATACTTGCTAAGAGTTGAGAGTCCAATTAATTTCCATGTAATACAGATATTTAGGTGTATCAAGCAGTTTCATTTTTATATTTTTTTCTATTCTGAGTCTATATATGCTATACTTTTGTTTAGATTCTCTAATAGCTTAACATGTTTCTGAATAAAATATTTACTCATAACTGAGGCAAAGAATTATTCAGAAACTTTCATTTCTGTAAGTGAATAATCTGACAGCAATGGTGTGAGAGATCTTGCCCCTGATAATACAGAGAGAGGTAACTCAGATTTCTCTGCATTTTTTCTCCAACTTAAATTGTAATCTATATCTTTTTTCCCCAAGTATCAAGTAAGTAAAAGAAGTGCTAAAACTACTACCTTAACTAAAGATTTGGAATAGATAGATAAATAGATGGATAGAAAGATAGATAGAAAGATAGATCGATGTATTAACTAGGTTTTATTTATATATTATTTCTTTCACAAAATGTGATTTTTCTCAAGGGTAATTTGAGTCCATGATCACATTTTTATCACAGAATGTTCTATTTATAATTATTTTTATGATTTAAAAAGTGGTAGTTTTTAGCTGTTTTATATATTCTATGATTGTATCATCTCCCTTACTCTCTAAATGATTACTATGTTTCTAGAGCAAAAGCTGACACTGATATCATAATGAAATAATAGTTGTTGTGAGGTTATAACAGGGTATAACATGATTCATATTACAGTGTTGGTGACAACTGTGCTTTAGCAGTCCCCCCTAGTTTGTTTTCTCTTCATCTATCTATCTATCTATCTGTCTATCTATCTATCTACCTACCTATGATTATCACAATTTTGTTTAAAGATTTCCATTCTTTTTTCCACTTTTTAAATTTATTTTTATTGTCTAGGTAATGTACAGAGGGGTTAGAGTTACATGCATAAGGTAGGGAGTACATTTCTTGTCAAACATTGCTATCCTCCTCCCTCATTTGTCTACCACTTTCCCTCCCCCCCACATACTCCCACCCCCAAGTTATAAAGTTCATTTCCAACATGTTGCCTTGTGAGTACCACTGTTGCATTGTTTAAAGATTTCCATTCTTACAAGGAAAACATCTTTTCTTGGAAACTCTTGTGTTCTTATAGTTCTCACTGAGTATCTTGTTCTGGAAACCAGTGATAGCTATGATGTATACTGATGAAAAATCTAGAATTTATAGTAGGCTCAATGAAAGTTAAGTCATAATTGTATAAGCAATGTAACTTCAATGTCATAAATAAATGTGAGGAAAATGAATCGATGTGAGAATTTGAATACAAATCTCAAGTTGTTTTAGGGGAATTACTAATTTTGATAGGTTTAGGGGAATTGCTTTCACTTTGAAAGATATTATCTGGAATATGAGGAAACATAACCATAGGACTTTTTCTAACAACATGCTGACTATGTTCTCTAAATTTCAACTTTCTAAAGGCAAGGAGGGCATAGTATTAAGGGTTTTCTCACAATGAGTGCCATCTACTGGTATTGTGATGTAAGTAGTACAATATAAGCAAATTTGTTTGATTCAAAATTATTTTACTATTTGTGGAATTGTCTTCTCTATATAAATTTTCCTAAAATATGCAGTGGCTTGATTTTTAAATATCAATGAGATGTGCTCCAATTTTATTAGTTATTTTAGAGAAAAGTTGTTGTTAATAGTTTTCTGTCTTGGGGTTTTTCTAGACCTTTATATTCTTTGTATATAAGAACAGACAATAAAATTGTGATAAGCGTGTTAGACATAAAGTATCTTTTTAGATTGTTGTAAATCCTCCTAAAATAAAGTGCACCATTGTTTTAGAAAAGTCATTATGTCTTAAGCATTATGATTCATAATCTCTATTCAAGAAGAATTTGTATGTTTATTATAGCATAAAGTAATTTCTTTGACCTAAATTTTAGTATCATGCTTCTTTCAATCTTTACCTCAGTTATCTGTTCAGCTCAAATATTGATCATTTAAATATTTGTTAGTATGATGAATGAAATATATACCTTGTTTCGTTTTTGTAGGCATCTTGTTTTCCCTAAATATATTCCTATAGCTATCACCTTTTCCCTCATCCCTTAAAAAATCTGACATATTTTGCATCTTGAAGAACTGAAAGCCAGGAGCTTCTAACTAATTACTTTTTCACATATACTGGGAGTGAGGAGTGTTGGTGTATAACCCTTAAAAAGGGAATTTAGATTCTGTTATTTCTAGTTATCATTAAAGTACTAAAAAAGATGGAAAAATCAGTGGTGGAGAGTACTGTCCTTGGGAGAATTCTCCTTAGGACTGAAAACTGTGCTCAGAATTCCCTTGCTTAATCTCTTCTCTGCCTCCTTTTTTACCATCAGAAGAAATGCTCAGTGGGGTAGAGTCTGCAGTCTTATTACTCTTGAGATCTTGTTTAGTTCAGCGAGTTTCCCCACCCCAGTTACACACGGTATTTGCCTTTTTCCAAATGTATCATGTTCTATCTTCTTATTTTATGCATGCAACTTCCTGCCCTATTTTACCTAGGTAAACTATTAAACTAGGGTCTGGCCTTTAGACCATTATGTGGAATTGCTACCCCAATGATCCCACCCACTACCCAGGCTCAAACCTGGGTTTCTATTTGTTCTGGTTTTTTTTTTTGTTTTGTTTTGTTTTTAATGGATTTTATATACAAACCCATTAAAACATACTACTCCTTTCCTGGTTTAATATACCAGTTGAAAATTTTAAATTGGTTACAGTAAATTTCTTAGAAACTAGCACTGGCTAGTTAAGCACTTTAAATCCTGATATATTAAATTCTGAAACATTCTATGTTGTCAAATAGTTGTTTTTTTTTCAATGAGTGAATGCCATTTAGTACCTAAAGTTCATAGAAGACACATTGGTTTTTTAAATATCCATTGCTTCTGGTTTTATTTCTTTTCTTTCAGAGTTCGTTATCTAGCCAAGGAAAATATAACTCAGGACAATGAGGATCACACAGTCTCTTTTGTGCAGCCCAATGGCGCCATCTTTGAGCCTTCACTCTCAGTTGGAACAGAAAATGATACTTTCACAGTTCTCAATCTGGCTGTAGCGGTGAGTGGACAATTAATTGTCCTAAAATGCTCCTATCTTACGGCTAAGAGCATCAGCACTATGATTAGATCTTTAGCTTTTTTGGAAATCCTATAGAAATATAACACTGTGTGATTTATGCCTTTGGAAAGATGACAAAATTATAACAACTGAATTATAAGAGCCAAGTACACCATTTAAAATGGGGCTTAACTTGGATTGTCTTCTTGTGGTTGGAAATAAGGAAGCAAATGTGATTTTCTTGAGTTTAGACCAATTATACTTATCAAGGCAGAGTTTGGCAGGTGTTCTCAAAGAATCAAAATTTCCTGCTGAACTCCATTCTTGTATTTGGTCCATTTAGTTGTTAAAATAAGATTAGGTACTCCGTGTATTCATGGTGATTTGTTTTATAGGCTGCACCTCATATCTATCAAAATGCATTCGTTCAAGTGGTGCTCAATTCACTCATCAAAAAGTCAAAATCTTCTATGTTCCAAAACCGAACACTGAAGGAATTATTGTGGGGCTATAAGGATCCATTCTTGAGTTTGGTTCCATACCCTATTGTTACCACTGTTGGCGTATTTTATCCGGTAAGTACCAAATATAAAACCATATTGTGACATTATTAACTATGCATGTACAGTGTCCTTGACAAGTGTAAGACTAGAATCTACGATATTAGCGTATTGCTGACTGGGAATGAATACATACATATATATATATGTATGTGTATATGTGAGTATATATAATATGGCTGAGGATGTAGAAGAATCGTATTTAATACCTAACCAATAGAAGTAAATGCTTAATCACAGAGACACCAGATAGATAGATAGACAGACAGATAGATAGATAGATAGATAGATAGATAGATAGATGGATAGATAGATAGATAGATAGATGTGTATATGAAATGAAGTCTTTGAAAATAGCATGTTGTATATATGTATGTATATATACACACACACATGTGTGTGTGTATATATATGCATATATATATACATACACTTATGGTTTTAGCTTTTTTAATGGGACATTTCATTTTAAAATTATTTTCTAAATTTTAAATAAAAATTTGTTTTTCTTATCTCCACATATACAATTTTCCTAAAATTAGCTTGTAAGTCTGTAAATCTTGGAATGCTATTTTTGATGACTTTTCCCACAAAAGCAAGTTCAGTGCTGTATGTTTTTCTTTTTAATTGTGAAAATACCGTACAGAGGGGTTACAATTACATGGGCAAGGTAATGAGTGCATTTCTTGTCAAGCATTGCGGCCTCCTCCTTTGTCTCCATGCCCTCCCAACCCTTCTCATCCCCCTGCCCCGCCTGGCCAAAGTTGTAAAATTCGTTTTTCAACATAACATCTTGTACATCCCATTGTTGCAATGAGTCCACCTGTATCCCTATTCAAATGATTTGTTTTTTCTGTTCCCCTCCCCAAATTATACCAACATCAAATGCAGTGAAAACAGGGGTTATACCGTGGGGGAGGGACATACAAAGCAACAAGGAAATCATCTTATAAATATGTGAGAAATATTCACATGAAAGCAAAAACATTTGAACACTTATCTTGGGGTTCATTTCACCTAACATCAACTTATCTGATCTTTTCTGCTTGTTTGCTTAAAATATCTTCATATTACTATCCTTCTTTCTCTAGTTCTCTTAACAAATTTGTTTTACTCTTCACTAGGAAGTTAGCCTGAATTTACATATGAAATTGTCAGTGAGATTTATTTTTTCTCATATTCTGTTTTATTCTTGTAATTTAAATAGTTCCCACTGAAGAATAGTCATATTTATCATTGTATCATAATTATTTCACAACTTAACAAATTAGTTTAACATATTATACCATACTGTTCAATTTAGAGATAAAAAAATCATAGTCTTTCTTTGCTTTTATTTTTCTGACTGACATCTTTGACATTTTTGCCTATATCACTGCACACAGTGAAGAACAAAATTTAATGAGGTTTATAATTAACAGCTTAAAGTAAATGGCCTACATATATTATGTCTTGGCAATGAAGATACAAGTGGTTTTGTTCTTCAGGATTTACTTGGTTGTAGCTTAGTGTTTTAATGAGCTGGCTTTGCTGGAGTAGTACCTTCTGATTTTGCTGAACATTGTACCTGGTATATTGCTTGCACTTTCCTGATCTCATTTGTGTTTAGGATTGGAAAGCTGCTTATCAATTAAGCGTTGCTATAGAAAGCATTAAGGAATCAGGGATTCAATTCTTTGAGATATACTACAACTGTTTTCTTGGCTAATTTAGTTGTTAATTTTGCATGCTTTGTCTTTGCAGTAAGAAATTATTTAAATATTTGGAGTGCTCCTAAAAACAATCTAGTTCTCATAAGTTTCACTCATTCATTCTTTGCATGAATGGTGATCAGCACTGCTTCATTGAGGGCTTAATTATTCAGAATGCTGAGTCTGAGCCTGTCAGTCTCTGTCATGTCTTTCCTACATTATCTCAGCATCAAGACAGATTTTATATCCTACCCTTTAATAAGTTCAAACCCCAGGACTAAAACAATCTCATACACTATACATTGAATTATAGAAAAGGATTCTGAATAACCAATGTTAAATGTAGAAGTTCATTATTTGTAATGTTACAATTTAGAGAATATGACTTGTTCAATAAATATTTTTTCTTGTATAAATTTTTTCAGTACAACAATACTGTAGATGGAGTTTATAAAGTTTTCAATGGGAAGGATGACATAAGCAAAGTTGCTATAATTGACACATACAAAGGGAAAAGGTAAGTGTCTTAGGAAAGTGTGTTTGTGTGTATGTTGTGTATGCTAAACTACTGTGAGACAGGAATGGTATTTTTTAACTGGCACTGGTACCAACCTTTGCAACAGACCTGGTAAAGTATCCTCTCTGGGAATGACTTTTCTGTCAGGCTCTTCCGCTTCCCTATTTGTTTCAGCTTGTTTCCCTATTTTCACCTGTACAAAAGTTCATGCTACTGCATTTCAGTGCTGCTTAGGATTTCCTTGGCTTTCATGCATGGTGTCTCTTCCATTTTTAACGAAATAGAGACTATTTTCTTCTCTACAGCCTATCTAGAATTATAGTGTACCTATGTAGTTCAATAATCACAAATGAAATAAATGAAAAATCAACACACCTAATAGGTAGAAAAATGATTTATTTATTTATTTAGTGCTTTTGTTAATACTGAGTATTGTTTAGACGTTCAAGTGACCATTTCTAAGTTCATCAGTAAAGGCAGTGGCTTAATGAGTGTTTCCCTGTAAACAGTCTTCAAATAGTTTCCGTATTGATGATTTAGGTTTCTAACCTTTGTAAATGCAAAAATGGAATTCGTATTCAATTACAGTTCTAGAATTTGCATACCTAAAATGCAAAATTTGTCACTTTTGGAAAAGGAGAAGAACAAGGCAACTTCATGAAGATATTATTTCAATTCTCCCAGCTTCTGACAGCCTGTCTGAAAGATTTATAGTTTTTCATATTTGTAAAAAGTAAAGAACTACCATATATATCAGGGAGAAAGCATTCTTTTCTTCTCCTGAAGTAAAAATAAGTCAACAAAACAGAAAGGATTAAATGATTTCATGAGAGTCTTTATCTAGTAATAGCTGCCATAGTTACACATTTACTAGTGTAGTGCTTATAAAGAGTTCCTATTCATAGGGAAGTTGAGTGGAGGAAAACAAACACATCTAAGTGTTTAAATGAAATCTGATCAAAGTTCTATGTTGAACAATTAGTATTTCACTTATCTGAGTATTATAAATGTAGAGAAGTGTAGAGAGGGTTATGTACTTCTAATTAGAGCAAGAATTACATATTACTTTGAGTCTCAAATAAGGGTGAATTAACTCTTCTTGACAACACCGAGTGTGATTAATAGCCTATAATTTTAAAAAGTAAGCAACAGATTGTATTTATATTTCATACATAATATGTCAGGAATGAGAAAAATCTAGCTTTTCCATCACCAAAAGAAAAATGGCTGAGGATGCAGGTGAGTTATTACTGCTATCATATTTTAATCACTTTTTGCTATATGTAAATATTTAAGCTTACACAGGTATTAAAGCAGAAGGTAATAAACTTTACCTAACTTTAAAATTACCTGATGCAAGAGTTAAAACAGACAAATGAAATAGATTATTTACATGTTTCAATTTGTAGGGGTCTAAACATTTACTTCTCATTCTTTTCTTCTATTTTTCTAGCTTATATTGAGAATAACTCAATTAATAATTGTCTACTATTCATTGCAAACACTTAACATTCTCCCAAATAACTCCTTTCTCTCATTGGGGAAAAAAAATCCCTAGGTAGAGGTCTATGTTTTAAATAAACATTTCATAATTTTCTTCTCTGAAAGCTCAGTCTTTTTTATGTTTTCTTTTTCAGGCTAATTTACCATTTGGCACTGATTTGTCCATATCACTGATTTGTCCATATCATGCCTTAATATAATTAATTACTGTAAGATTAAAGTTTCAAACAAATGAATATTAGAACATGTCTTAAACTTAGCATGTCACATGTAATCTTTATTTTTCAGCAGAACTATATTGAATCAAAGTAGGAAAAATAATTTAAAGTATACTTGAAATGAGAATATTTATACATCTGTCTTTTATCCCTAAGGAATCTCTCCTATTGGCCAAGTTATTGTGACATGATTAATGGCACAGGTAAGAACATTTTAGATAACCCTCACCATCATACCTTACCTTCTCCCATCACTTTTGCTACAATATTCTGAAGGCTCAGTGTCTGTGTTTGCCTGTCTTTATAGCCCCACTCAATAATGTACTTTCTGTTCTATAAGCTTAGTATGATGGGATGGGATTTCTGAGGTTAACCATAGAGAATTCACACCACTTTGTTATTAAGGAAACATTTGCTATATAAAACCTATACTTAATGGATTGGTATCCTACTAACAGAAATAGCTTAAAAACAAACAAACAAAAACAACCAGGTTGGTGGCTTCTACCTATAATTCAAGCTATTTAGAGGAGTTAGGCAGATCACAATTTGAGGCCAGTTCCTGAAAAAAAAAAATCAAGACTTGACCTGGCTAAAATAGTAGGGAATTTTTCTTGTAAAAGTGACACCCTGACTAAAAACTTCAGTATGAGGAAAATAAAAAGCAAACTAAAAGAATAATGATTATTCATCCCTTTCTTATATACTATACAGATAAAATTGAATAGAAACATAATGACAGAAGTGAAAACTTACTTCTTAGTGAGACTAAAAACTTAAGTAGTTAGTGAAGTAAAATAAAAAATCATATGTATATCACATTTATATGTATATATATGTGTATGTGTGTACATATGCATGTGTAATGTACATGTGTATACACACATGTATATATGCATTGTACACATGCATACTTACATTTATGTGTGTAGGCATACATGTTCATGCATACACATACACATACACTATATTTTCTTGATCCGTTCATACATTAAGGAGCATTTAGGTTGATTCCATACCTTGACTATGGTGAATAGTGTTGCAATAAACATGATTGTGCTGGTGACTTTGCTGTATCCTGGTTTGTAATCTTTTGGGTAAATGTCCACGAGTGGAATTTCTGGATTACAGGGTAGTTCTATGTTCAATTTCAATGGGATTTTATTCATTCATTAGAAAGAATGATATTGTACCATTTGTAAAGAAATAGAAAGACTTAGAAAAAGTATTTTAAATGTAGTAAGTCAGGTCCAGAGAGACTAAGGATTCATGTTTCCCCTTAGATGTGGAAGCTAGATGTAGCTTATAAACTTATAATAAATACCTTGGGTGGTATGCAAGTGTATACAAATGTAGTAACCGAAATATAACAGATTTAGGGAAGATTTCAAATAGTGTAATTCCTTAGAAGGGCAAAATCAAACTTCAGCAAAATAAAACAGCAGGAGTGAGACACTCAAGAGGGATGCGGTGGGACCAAGTAGAAAAGGGTAGATGAATGAAAAGAAGACCAGGAGAATGCAGTCAAGAGTCCAGCCTATATTGTCCAAAGTTAAGAAGAACAAGGAAAGGGATGTATAGAGGTAGGATGGGTAAGAATGTTGAAAGGAGTGACATTGATCCAGATGCATTGTATCACGAACTGCTTTGCTAACTTGCTACTCTTTGTACAACTTAAAGATAAAAATAAAAAGAATAAAATATCCATATATTTTTAATAAGGTAGTTACCATGAGAAAGTTCAGGAAAAAATAATAAGCTTACATTGTTAAATTTCTGCTACCCATGAATACTATGTGTGAGTGTAAGAATTCTGCATTAGAATTGGAGAACAAAAGAACTGAAAGCTCTGATTTAATATTTGGCTAACTCTGGCTTCTAGTTGTCCTTGAAGAAAAGTACACGTTTATTAGCAAAAGAAGTAAGATTTGGAAAGCTATGGCAATCAAATATTATAAAGTAATTAAAATCAAGTGTAAGCATTCAAGGACTAGGAAGCACAAACAAAATATTTACAAAATAAGAGAAAATATCTAACAGGAAAATGTTACAATAATGATGAAAAACGTTAAATGAAAAGAAAACTGGAGTGCTTACTTTTCCAAAATGTTGTTTGAGTCTTGCATGATTATTTAATTGAATTGCTTTTTGTTTAGAAATTGAAAGACATTTTTATGTATTTTTAGTTTTTTTAAGTTAATTTACTTTATTGTTATTATAAAGGTTACATACAAAGGGATTACAATTGCATGAGGCAGGCAATAACTACATTTCCTTTCAGAGTGTCTTCTCTTCCCTCACTCTCTCCCATCCCTTCCCTCCCATATTGCTTTATAGAGCAAAAATGACTGGATTTGCTTTTGTAGGATGTTAAGCCATAAGAATAATGCATTTCTGCACATAAATTTTCAAGTGACTCATACTTCTCTCTGTATTTACATAAACATCATACTTAATCCTTACAGACAAAAGTATAATCTGCTGTTCCTATGTATTAAAGAATTTATTGTTTATTTAAGAGGAAAATAATTGTACAGCCTGTCTGAAGTTAGTAGATAGGTGTAGCCAAAAGAGCTACAGGCTAGAAGATGCATTAGTAAAAATAATATAAAAATGTAAACTCCAGGCTTGAATTTGAGAGGGTGAATATTTTACTAGTATTATGTAAAAACTGAACTACATAACTTGAGGATAGGAATAGTGGGGAAGGACAATGAAAATGGTGATATTGATCAAAGTTCATTGTACTTATAGCCTGACTTATGAAATTGGAAATTCTTTGTATAACTATGTTATAATCATTTTTATTGTAAGTAGTTTTACAATGGAGTAGCCAATTAATAAAGCAGTTTTTAATCATAATTTTTAGGTATAAGCATAGAAGTAAAAAGAAAGAAGAGCAGAAATGTGTTGAGTAGGGCAAGTTATGACTCTAAGGAATACTCTTGGTCATGGGACTAGAAAGATAATAGGAAAAGATATCAATATTGGTATAACTTGGAATCATTTCGCTGAGGAAAAAGTATCTCTGGTGGTATCATTTCTCTTTGTCATTGCCCATATAAATTTCTGGATATAATTCTGGCATACATTCTATCATAGTTCAGATAATAATTGTTGAAGACTAACAGTGTATTTTCTTTTAGTTGGTAAGATTCTGGGAAGGCATTTTCCAGACAGGGCCCAGTATGGCAGATCCCAGATAAACTTTAATATTTAATCATCTCACTGCCAGGATGAAGCAGTGAGTACAAGATTACTGTAACCCTCACCATGGGAGTGTAAGTGAGATATAACAGTTATCATGAAGGTACACTTGCTAGAAAAGACACTGGCCTACATAACTGAGGGCTGGGTCTTACTGTTTGAAACAAATATTTCCAGTGTAGGCTCATTTTGTTTATATTCATTTGAGAAGCAAATGGAAGAGTATCTAATAATTTCCTCATTTATTTAATGTGTGCTGTTAGCTATGTTAGGAATTCAATCACCTCAATAATTGCCTTGTTAAATTGATTGAATATGTTTCCAAAGCATTGGGAGGAAATTTTATTTAGTGAGAGATATGGATTTCAAATGGATTGGAAAATACTAATCAGCCCTGAGTACAAATGAATGAATCACTATTAAGACCAAAGTCGGTATAACCCATGTTCTGAAGGACTCTATGGTAAGAGATATTTCCCTCCGTTGATGGAGCAAGTCATTTCCAAATCATACAATTACAGCTTTCACATAATCTGATTTTACTATTTACTTGTTGAACCTCTGATCCTTGTAGCCCCATATGGTTGTCAGGTTCTCTAAATGTGTCCTGGATGTTTGATTTATGCTGTAGACTAAGAATGTGTACTAGACTTGGGAAATGTAAAACTCCATTATTTTTATTGAGTGTGCACTGAAATAGGACTAAGAATATATTAGATTGAATAAAACTACTAGATACTTTTTTAAATTAGGTAAGTCATTTTATCATATTTCTATTAACTATGCTTGAAAGAGATTTCTAGATTTTTTAGAGAATGCATATTACATTTAATCACTTGCCACTGCCTTGATTTTTAATAGATGCAGCCTCATTTCCACCTTTTGTTGAGAAGTCTCGAGTATTGCGATTCTTTTCCTCTGATATTTGCAGGTAAGACGTAGCTAATGATCTATGTCTAAATCAGACTTTTTGTCCCTCAAGCAGTAAAGTGAAATTAAAGAGCTCATGAACTAATAAATGTATTATTGAATAAAAATATACTTAGAGTATTTTTATTTGGGAAGGGCTGGGAAGGGAAACAAAGGAGGAGGCATCAATGTTTGATAAGAAATGTACTCATTATCTTGCCCATGTAATTGTAACCCCTCTATAAGTTATTTTCACAATAAAAAATTCATATATTAAAAAAAAGAATAAATGCATAAGAAGTGGCACTGTGGCTCAAGTGGTAGCATGCTAACCTTGAGCTGAAGAGCTGAGGGATAGCTCTCAGGTCCAGAATTCAAGCCCCATGACCAACAAAAAAAAAGAAAAAAAAAGAATAAATGCATAAATATAGAATTCATGTGCTTATTAAATATTTTCAAAATACTCTTCTGTATATTCTAATAATTTATAGGGCAAATCATTTTCTATACTTCTATTAACAACTATTTTTATGCATTTAATAAATTATTAGTGCTTTTAATACCAATGAAATCCAAAAGAAATTGTCTAGTCTTTCTAAAAATATACATAAAGGACTCAGAACTATGTACATTAACCAATATGGAATTTTATCTTACTAACTCTTTCCAAAGTAGCCTTCTGAATGTTTCAACTTTTAATAGCATAAAGCATTTTTTTGTTCTTTTAAGAACATTTTCATGCATTTTAATCAACTGAATTTAATACCACCAATGAAGCCTAGAAGAAACTGCCCAGTTTTTATAAAAATAGGCAAAGATGACCCAGAATTTTATCATTACTGTTTTCTACAGTATCTTTTCATACTGGTGGGACCTAGGAAAGACTCTACAACTCCTGGTGCTCTTCCCACTCTTTTTGAATTGAGCCCTGTCCCTAAACTCTGAAATTGAAGGCAAACATTGAATATTTGTGTATATTTCCCTTATCCAAAAATTTAATGAGAACCATGTTTGTTCCCATAGTATTTTCTGAGAATTAGCAGGATACATACTGAGCTCTAGCATAGTGCCTATTTCTTGGTAAATATTTTGGAAATGATGTTTTATGGGCTCACACCCCAACAACTGAGTAGATTTTATTTTTCCAAGATTAAATTTGAAATATAGAGACTTTGGACTGGGTGCAAATAAATATTTATTACTTCAAACTCTTTAATATATAAGGGAAATTAACTCTTAAGAAATGTCACTGATATATATATTTATATGTTCCATGGTAGTGTATAATCAAAATTTGTAACATAATATATAATATTATATAATTTAATATTTTTGAATAAATAAAAACATTTTATACTCAGGTATTGAGTTGTGATCATTTTTCTCTAGGATTTAAGCAAGTCTAAGATTCTATCAAGATCATCTGATATTTCTAAGTTAAAGCAAAAATATAAACCAAAAAATGAAAAGAGACAATGGATTTCCAATGTGTGGTTCTGTTTCTTGGAATTAAACTTGTTTTTATCCCTGTGTAGATCAATCTATGCTGTATTTGGATCTGAGGTTGACTTGAAAGGAATCCCTGTGTATAGATTTGTTCTTCCAGCCAAAGCCTTTGCATCTCCAGTCCAAAACCCAGACAATCATTGCTTCTGCACAGAAACCATTATCTCCAAAAATTGTACTTCATATGGTGTGCTAGACATTGGCAAATGCAAAGAAGGTACATATGTGTTCTTGGCATCATGATTCATGACATCATTTGTAGTATTCTTCTAAAATGCCTTACCCCAAATCACTTTCTACCGAAAACTGAAAATTAAGGCATTGATAAGAGAAAGTAAACAAGGTTTGATAGCAGGAATTTTAGTGTTGCTTTTATTCAGTATTTGGGGTCTCATTTGTGAAACCAATGTTGTATTATTAAGAAAAAACTTCCAACATTATTTTGCTTGTAATTATTCTCTGAGCTTCCTGAGCTATCTATCTGTGACTTTTCCTATCTTTTACTTCCTAGAAAATGATAAAGGAAAGTAAATGCTTAGAATATCTCTAAAACAAGAATGGTCAAACAATATTTGGACTCCTCCTTGTTTCTTCACACAGTTGTGAGTGTGAATGAAAAAGGAAGGAAAAAAATTACTCATGAATGGATTTTCAGTCTAGGAACATAGTTATGCTTAGTGCATGGATATATGTAGTTGAAACTTTGTTTAGCAGCTGAACTATGCAAACTGAAAGTTGGCACAAATTAAAGACCAGACACCAACTCACTGCTTAGGAGGAAAATGCAGAAGTTAACATTTCATCTCTACATATTATGTACCCTGATAAAAATCTTTCCCTAAACTCTAATCAGTGTTCAAAGCCAACTATTTTACTTAATCTTAAAAAAAAATCTTTTCTTATAAGAAAGTAGTTTCTGAGCATTATGTTCAACAAGAAATGATTATTTGCAATTGAGTCTGATTTTCTGTTTTCAGGAAGACCTGTGTACATTTCACTTCCTCATTTTCTACATGCAAGTCCTGATATTTCAGAACCCATTGAAGGCTTATATCCAAATGAAGAAGAACACAGGACATACTTGGATGTTGAGCCTGTGAGAAAATAGATTATTTCTTTGACTTAGCTAATACTGTCATTTATAAACCCAAGAAAATCTTTCAGTCACAATTTTGAATTACTTTCTTAATAAATTAGTGAAACTTGGTCAATGTAACTAGCACTGATTTCTTCCTTTTGTGACATACAAGTGGGGAGAAAATTAAATTTTTATTGCATGGACTTTGATAAGACTTTTAATGGTATGTAAATTAGGAATGCAAATGATGAAAATGAATAGTTAGCTTACTTGTGACTATTTTATCCTGAAACTAAATTTATGTATAGATATTGCTTTCATGAGAAGTCACCATCACCACCATTTGCTATTAGGAATTAATAGATTTTATGAGAATATATAAGTTTCATTCAAAATCTCCTGTATTAAACCTCAGAAGAATCTAAAACACCATAGTTTTAACATTTCTATTAGTAGAGTTTTCTAATGTTAAGGACAAGTGGGGAAGGAGTTTAATTGGACAGTTGCTTGCCCAGAAAGTCTAAGGTCCTAGGTTAGAGTCTCTTCACCACATACACACAGATTAAATCCTAGAATCTCAATAATTAGGTTTCTGATGAAAAATAACAGTGGAAGGTATTGGTATAATTACACTAACACGTGGAATCTGAATAAATTTATAGTTGATCATGCAGAATTCAGGAATTAAATGAGAGCTACATTATGTTACTGATGCTGTTAATTTCATGCATATTATCACAAATTAAAATAAAACCTGATGGTCTTCTCTGTTTGACAAAGCAATTACATGTATATACACACATATAGGTGTATAAAAATTTATACATAGAATCTGATTTACATATACCTATATAGGTAATAGCTAATAAGTCCAATTAATTTTTATAAGCCTTAAGTCCTTTTTTGTTAAGCTCTTAACTTTCCTGCTGTCATAGCAAAAATAAAATTTGCATATTACAAAATTTATTTTAAAAGAAGTTAGTAATTATTTTAGTTTATTTTTCTTTCAGATAACTGGATTCACATTACAATTTGCAAAACGGCTACAGGTGAACATATTGGTCAAACCAGCAAAAAAAATTGAGTGAGTCATTTTATGTTATATTTTTTCATTTCTATTGTAAAGTTTATTTATAGAAGTGTTAGCTATATATGTAATGAGTACATGTCTTTTTGAACAGTGTCAGCACAGAAATCGTGGGACAAAGCGTTAATCAATTCAGCTGTGATACTCCCTAGACACTATGTTGGAAATGAACTATACAAATTGGGGAAAAGGGGTTCAGGAGGGGAAAAACTGGGAGTGAGTCACTTTAAACAATATTATCTTTATCCATATTCTTGTAAGAATGACTAGGCTCATGAAAGAATATCAAATGTAATTTCTCTTCAGTTTAATGTTAATTCACAATAATTAATTTAGTAACTTTTCACTAAGAATAATTATCACATACAGTTTAAAATCATGTCTAGTGTTTATTGAAATATATTAACATATTTTTCCTACATAGCATTTGTTGGGAAAATGTGCTTGAAAAAAGCTAAACTAGTTATAGATTTGTATTAAATATGTGAGTGAAAAGTCCGAGAAACAGCTCCATTAAAATTTGAATAGTTTGTGGCCAAGAACAAAATTCTAGAAACTTAAATAAGCAAGAACAATTGATTTCTGAACATCTACAGTTGTAATTACAAAAATATCTATCAGATATATATTAAAATAAATGTTTTGACAGTTATTTTCAATATACATTACAGAGCATTAAAGGGTCTGAAGAAGAATTATATTGTGCCTATACTTTGGCTTAATGAGGTTAGTATTTTAATTCATTAATACAAGACAACAAAATAAGCTTTTGATGTTTCCAAATTATATATGTATTGGAGGTTGTATATGCTTTAATTTTTCATAGGGATAATCCAGCTTACACATTATTGAGTATGTCTATTTGTTAGAAATAAATTGCATACAAATATCAGTTTTATTTTCTTTTAAAAAGACAAACAGTTTGAAATGATATTCATAGTGTATCTAATTTATATTTTCTTGGTCATTATATGATTTCCTTGTGAAATCAAGACTTACTCAAAATATCGATGCTTTAGAAATATTGAGTTAAATATATTTTAAGACACTATAAAAGTCGACTGTGCTTATAAAGGACAGATTAGATTAGGTATGGGCAGCATATCCTACTGCCTGAAAATATTTAGTGTAAATGACAAAAGTTTGTTTGTCAGAGCTAGAAAATGTGTTGTTTGAACCTTTAGGAGTGAAATTATAGAACTTTGTAAATTCTCTCTGTCACTGGGTGATAACTTTTAGAAATTGGTGTAATATTTCAGAGACAATTTTGAAGAGTAAATGAACTCTGTACACTGAAGATTGTTATGTATCATATTTAAAGAAAGTGAGTTATTACTGTATGTATTGTCTTCTTTGACAAGAAAAGGGATCCCTACTCCCTCATATCTTAGATGTAAATGACTAACATATATGTCAGGAATGTTTAGAGGAAAAGAAAGTACAGAGATTGTGTATTTTGTTTCATGGTTTTACCCAAATAATGTTAATTATTGATTACAGACTGGTACCATTGGTGATGAGAAAGCACAAATGTTCAGAAATCAAGTGATTGGAAAAATAAATCTCCTCAGGCTGGTTGAGTTGGTCTTGCTGGGTATTGGAGTGGTGATGTTTGTTGCTTTTATGATTTCATACTGTGTATGCAGAACAAAGAAAGTAAAATAAGTAAGTACATACCAAGTATATGCATTGCTCAGGATTTTACACAAATCATTTCATCTGATCCTTGCTAAAATTCCGTGAGGCTGTAATAGCCAGCCTTCATAGCATCTATTATATTCTTGAGTGACAGTCCAACAAATTATAATCTGTAATCACTGAAAAAAAATGTGCATTATTAAATTCTAAATCAATCAAATTAAGGATTCAAAAACTTAGAGTAGAATTTAAGAACTGTTTTTTATCCTTTTCAAAATTTATTATCTCTAAGTAAATATACAAAGAGATTTCAGTTCTACCAGTTTGTAAGTAGAATATATCTGGATCTTGATTAGTGTCATACCTACCATCAGTCTTCCACAACTTCCCCAACACCAACCATACCCTAATATCTCTTTTCTGGAGAGAGTAAGAATCTTGCCTTAAGAAGACAACTCAACTTTTTGTTCTGTACTATTCCTACAACTTTTCATTTACTAAAAGAAAAAAAGAAAAGAAACAACTGAACAAACGCCTAAAATCTGTTTGGATGGAATACATTCCAAAATCTATCTTAACATACTCATTTTATAATAAACATTGCATCACCTTTAGTATATACAATGATCCAATAAGAAGTTATGGAGAATGCAAAATATTCATATGGCCACTTATATAATTACAAACATCATCTGGTGAACAGCAAACAGTCTAATAGTCTAATATGATTTTCATAAACAATGTGTAAAATGTGCCTTTATTGTGCTATCCCAGAACTTTCTTGCTCAAAGCTAGCACTCTACCCCTTGAGCCACAGCTCCACTTTCACCTTTTTGGTGGTTAATTGAAGAAAAGAGTCTCACAGATATTCCTGCGTGGGATGGTTTTCAACTGCAGTCCTCAGCTCTCAACCTCTTGAGTAGCTAAGAATACAGGTGTGAGCTGCTGGCACCCAGTGTCTGTTAAATTTTTATGATAATTTTATCATTGCTTAATGATATCTGAATATCAGTTTCCTTTGGTCTATAAATGGCTAAATTATAGAACTTGCCACCAGATATATTAGTTTTATTATATAGTTTTAACTCTTCTTACCCATTGATTTTTTTTCCCTTATCAGTTTCTTGATATACCAGGATTAGAAGAGTGACAGGAAATGGAGATTTCCTCAAACAAACCTGTTTTTAACTAATTCTAAAATGTATGTTCCCAGGAAAAATTTTAAACTGAAAAAATGAGGAAATAAATACTCAAGAGAGAATAAAGTATAAGAAAGTGTTTTTACTCATGGATCATGAGGTACTTTCGAAAGTAGTAATTTTTGAACATCTACATGGAGAATGGGATTTGGGAATATGGAAATGTTGTCTAGGGCAGAGTTAATTAGTTACCTTTCCTGGTTATGTGGTGTGCTGGATAGCTACATTAAAAAGCCTTTATATGAGATGCTAGACTGCAAAATAGAAAGTATCTTTTTATTATTCTACTGCATTTTGTTAAGTAATAAAATATCTTCTACTTTACAGGTAATAAATGAGTCTACATATATGCATCAGCTACATCAAGACCTTCCATAATATAAATCTGCAAAAATGGGGATTTATTCTGCTCTATTTTTACAAAACACAACTTATCCTTTAGTTGAAGAAATGGTGGCACTTTCTATATATTTTTGGCACTAAATTGCAGCACAATTCAAGAGAATTAAGATGTCATTAAAATGTATAGTTTGTATAAAACCCAGAACGTTAAAACAACAACAACAACAACATCATTTATACAATTGAATTGGTTTTCGTTTCTACATATTTGACCAGGAACCACTGGTTTCTGCTTGGCTTTGGTTCATGGATTGGTTCCCAGATAGCAAATTCAGCAGAAGAGTGGACATTCAAAATAGTCTTGTCTTGCTTATCAAAAGACAAAGACTGTCATGCTCAGAGGCTGTTTATTTGCAGTGGGTAAATCTACGTACTGTCATTACATTGGATTAGCTCCAAAGATTCTGAAGGAATTTAAGAATGAGAGCTAAAAGTTGAATGATTTATGAGCCATTCATTAAACCTTAATTTTTCGTTTTGCCTAGAATACTTTGTACAGCAAAAGCAGCTATTGTAACCATTTTTCACTTCCTAAAGTGACTTATAATTTTGTCACTGATCATGCAAATTATCTGTAGCATCTTTATTGTTTTCAATGTGTAACTTTTCCTGAGTACATTTCAGTTTTGTTTTTGTTTCTGTTTTTGTTTTTCCTGCTCAGTTGCAACTTAAAGCTGGCAACCTCAGAATGCTGTTCTAGTATTAAGAGCTGTACAGGATAATAAAAAAAATATTATATGGAATATTACAAACAGTAGAATGTACATCAAAAGTTATTGGTTATAATATTTCTTGTTTTCATAGTCACTGCAGAAGGACTGATGTCAACTATTAAAAGATGTTCTTCTTTAAATTCCAGTACTTTTGTCTAGTTCCTGTTGTGTTATGAAATATCTATCCTATTTTCTGTGGCTGTATTTTTTTTTCTGGTTTTGGGGCCTGAACTCTGGGCCTGGGCGCTGTCCCTCAGCTCTTCAGCTCAAGGCTAGCACTCTACCACTTGAGCCACCGCACCACTTCCAGCTTTTTTCTTTTTGCTTATGTGGTGCTGAGGAATCGAACCTAGGGCCTCAGGCATGCAAGGCAAGCGCTCTACCACTGAGCCACCTTCCCAGCCCCTGTGGCTGTATTTTTTGAAGCTATATTTCTTTCTCAATTCAATTTTTATTTAAATCAACATCTCTGAGTTGTACCTTGGGGGGAGTCCTTCGTAATATTTCCATTCATGCATAAAAGAACTCAAAGGAACTCCCTTTTTTCAACATGTTCCCTCATCTCCCCTCTTTATCCATCCCCTGTTTTAATAATTTACTTATCTTTTAAGTTGATTGGGGGGAAATAACTTTTGATTTTATCAGATTTTATAAGACTATTAGACATATTGATATCTCACTCTGCTTTCTTTTAGCAGAGAGGCTCACCTATTGTAGACTACACTAGTCCTACAAAGTTTTGACATAGAAAGGGAAGGTAAGACAAACTCTGTGTTTTCCATGTAGAGGGATACAGAACAAATGAGCATTGATGACTCAACTGTGTAGATATCAATATTAACAATGACTTTACTTCCTTCATGCCTTTTATGCTAGTTTAAAAGGTAAATGTTGCAAATTGCTGCTAAGATTTCTTCCAAGAGAGGTCATCATAACTACCCCATGTTAAGGTGGCATCTCTTGGTAGGGAACCTTTGAATTCCTGAAGATAGTTGAATTATATTCATTTGTCTTTCTTTGAATTAAAAGGGGGAAAATATTACTCTAAAATATTTATATTTATTATGAGATTCTAAACCCCCTTCCCTGATAGCTAAAAATAGGTATTGTTTTTGTTTGTTGGTTTGTTTTTTTGTGTGTTTTTGTGTGTGTGTGTCTTTTTTTGTCAGTCATGAGGCTTGAATCACACTTCCACTTCTGTTTTTCTGGTGGTTTACTGGGGATAAGAGTTTCATGGACTTTCCTGTCTGGGCTGGCTTTGAACTGCAATACTCAGATCTCAGCTTCCTGAGTAGCTAGGATGACCGGTGTGAGCCACCGGTGCTTAGCTTGAAGCTTCATAGTTCATTTTTTTACTTATTATGCATAATGCTCAGAGTTTAATTCTGAGCGTGACAGGGAAATAAAAGCAATTCAATGACAAATACATATTTATTGCAGGTAAAACTTGACCTGTGTTATAACTAATCATAACATACATATTCATACAGAAATTCATTATGTGGCTTTTAGATATCAAAAAGGATTATATAAAATAATATATATTAAATTTAATATATATATATATATATATACTAAAATGCATGTACTTCAATCTTTATGTTTTCGGAGCATTTATTTCAAATTGTATACATTGGGTAAATATATATACATACATATACAGTTGTAAAGTAAGAATTTAGAGAAGCCACATTTTGAGAGGTCAATTTCTTGACGTCTTTATTGCACAGTTAGGAAACAGGCCAGAGTGGAAAAGAAGAACAAAACAATATCAACAAACTAATTCAGCTCCAATGGAGAGCTGAATAGGGATGCCATTATGACCAAGTAAGAGCCGGGAGACAGGACATAGGACTTGAATATGGAGACATGTATCATGGCATGATGGGCCCTATGCTTGTCTGGGCTTAAATATGGTCAGGACAGGGGGTAGGGTCACAGGAAATCCCCAGGCACTGGACTGACAGGTCCAGCAACCCATCAGACAAGTGCCATCCCTGCCTCCAAGGATTCAGGCCAGGCCATCACCTGGGAGGTGGGCATGACCCTCCCCTAACATGAAAACAAGATATGGAGCCGTGGCCAATATGGTGCAGGCCAGACCTGACCTCCCTACTTCATATAGACATAAACATACATATATATGGTAGAAGGGGATATCTCTGTAATCATGCTCCCTATAAAAATATCAACGGCTCAGAAGCAACTAAACACATACAAAAATACTTCAATAGCATTAAAAACTATAAATGGGATATCAAAGAGAGCATGATATTAAGAAAAAAATCAGTGGAAGACAGTAGATAAGAGTCTTAAATTACTTGTATTACTCTTTTGCAACCTTTGGCAGCACAGCGTATAGTGAAATACTATCCACTTGCAAGAAAGAGAACAGTTAAGGGTGAGACTTTACCTTAGACATTAATGCCAGGTGTATCACAGTGAAACCCTTCACTAGGCAGACACCTAACACCCAATAATGAAAGACTCTAGCCTGGGTGTAGTGACTCATGTATGTAATCTTAGGCTGCTTGAGAAGCAGAGATTGGAGGCCAGCCTGGACAAAAGATTAATAAGAGATCATCTCATTCAGTATGCTTGGCATAGTGGCACGTACCTGGGATGCTAGCTACATGGAGGCCATATATAAGAAGACTGTAGTATGAAACCAACACTGAGCAAAAGTGTTAGACCTTAAATGAAAAATAACTAAAGCAAAAACTGGCAAAAGGCATGAATCAAGTGTAGAGGGCCTAGGAAGCCCAAGGCCCTCAATTCAATTCCCAGTATCACCAAACCAAACCAAAACTACAGAGACAAACCGAACCAAACAAACAACATGCATCAAAACAAACACAAACAAACACCTAAACACCTAGTACAGCTCTGGCACTATGAAGAAACCCAGAGCCCTTATTAGGGGATCCATTCTGCAGCCTGCACCATGACCAAGAAACTGTAGGTATATTGAGTTCAGATAAAAGTCACTGACCAACAAGCTTCAGCAGCCAGAAGAATCAGTCATATACCATTGCTAAACCTGCCTTGGTAGTTTTAAGAATCCACTATGTACATGAGAATCTTTTAGCACTTCAGTAGCCAAAGTGGTCCCAGAGTAGTTGCCACTTCAGTTGGTCTCCTCATATTCTTAGGACAGACTAATATTGTAGAGCATTCCTAGATCAAATCAGTCTATGAGGACTGGAGTACGTAGCTATTCCTTCCCACAGGCAAATGTTGATGAGTAATCACAATCAGGAAAAATTATCAACATAGAGATAAATGAAGTACCAGTTATTGACTAAGAAAAGACATATATATATATATATATATATATATATATATATAGTACACATATATATATATATATGTATATATAAACTTCTTGACAATTCAAAAATAACTGTTTTAGGGAAATTTGGAGAATTTCAAGAAAGTGCAGAGAAAATAATTCAAGAAAATGAAGAAAACAATATGTAACTAAACTGAGGAATTTAAGATAATGATTGAAACGATTAAAAGAAGTAAATTTTTGAGCTGAAAAATACAATTAACAACAACAAAAAATCTGTGGAGAGCATTCAGAGAATTGATCAAGAAGAAAAACACATAAATTCAACTATAGTCTATCTGAAAACATAAAGTTCCCTCTGAATCTCCTATAGATTCATCCAGTTTTAGAAGAAAACTAAAGTCGAAATTGAATTTGTACTGAATATATGCAGAATTTTCTTGCTTGCTTGCTTGCTTGCTTGCTTTCTTGCTTTCTTGCTTTCTTTTGTCTGACATGGGGCTTGAACTCTGGGCTTGGGGCTGTCGCTGCGCTCTTCAGTTCAATGTGACGGTTCTACCACTTGAGCCACAGCTCCACTTCCGGTTTTTGAGTGGTTTATTGGAGATCAGCGTCTCATGGACTTTCCTGCCTGGGCTGGCTTTGAACCACGATCTTCAGATCTCAGCCTCCTGAATAACTAGGATTACAGGTGTGAGCCACTGGAGCCAAGCTAATATTTATTTCTTAAATAATGTAATATACCATTAATGTACATATATATATAATTTACATTATATTAGATATGATTAAACTATAAGGGAGAATAGACACAGGCCATACATTGTTGCTTTACCATGTTTTGAACAGGACTTGAGTATCTGCAGATTTTGTTGTCCATAGTGTGCGGAGGTCTTGAAGCCAAACTTCTGAACAGTATGCAGTCAGACAGGAAGAAAGGAAAGAATGAAAAAGAGGAAAGGAAACATTTCAGATTTATGGGACAGCAATAAAAGTACAAAAGTTCAACTCGAATAAATTAAAGAAGGAAAAAATGAAGAAGTCAAACAGTTGCTTAGAAGTTATGCCAGAAAAACCTTCCATAGCTAGAGAAAAATATAAATATCCAAGTACAGAAAGTTTGAAAATTCCAATCAGATTTAATATGATAAATAAAACCACCCAACATGTTGTAATTAAGGTGTCAAGAACAAAGGATCCTGAAAGCAACACAAGGAAAGAAGGAAGTAGAATGTAATGTCATTCCAGCAGATTTCTCAGCAGTGAGTGGGGTGATAGATCTGAAATATGAAGGGAAAGAACTCTGCTAAACAAGAACACAAGATCCAGGAAAGCTGTCTGTACAAATGTCCTAACAGTGAAAAGTTGAAGGAATTTTCCCCACTTTTTTTTTTTTTAACAACAAATGGTCGATAGAATGCTACACTTAAAAAAAAAGAGAGAGAAAGAGAAAACAATGCTAATAATAAACACAAAATTACATAAATGTTACAAAACACTGGTTAAAAATAGTCAAACTCATAAAAGTAATGATGATGAATAAGCAAATACTTTTTATTTTATTTTTGTTAATTGTGGGGCTTGAACTCTGGTGTTGGGCTCTGTTCCTCAGGTCTTCAGCTCAAGGCCAGCACTCTACAACTTGAGCCACAGCACCACTTCTGGTGGCCACCAGCACCCGGCCACCAATTCTATTTTTGATATGAAGATTAAAAAGTTTAAAAAAGTATATTTTCGATATAAGACCCTTGTCCGTTGTATGGCTAGTAAAGATCTTCTCCCAATCCGTGGGCTTTCTATTGATCTTGCTAGCTATGTCCTTTGCCATGCAGAAGCTCTGCAACTTTATGCAA